CTGATATTGTGTGGAAATAAACTACACTTGAAGGTCGCAACAGGCAACCTTTACTGTTAAAATTAAAACAATTATTATAAAACTGAAAATAAAAGAGTTAGAACATCAGGCCTGAACGGGTGCAGTCGTGATTCACTGCCCTAGAAGATAGATGACCCGCCTTTCGCCCTGGCGCAGTCGATCCTCTCCCCCTAGCGGTAAAACCTCCCAGAAACGGTCGGTCTCTGTACTCGGGCGCGAGTAGCAGAGCTTCTGCTCAGATGAAGAAGGTTGCCCGAAAATGTAACGATTATAATATCACAGAAATTTTTAGAGGATGAGAGGGGATTAGAGGATTCTTCTTGTTTCTGTGTCTTCTCCGAATGAGCTTCAGCTCTTTATATAGCCTCTCGAACTGATAACCGATTCTGATAGTCCGCACACGTTATACGTATATCCCACGTCCGTTATACGTTTCCATAACTCCCACGACCGTTACAAGCTTGTGTAAAACGTGCAAAAAAAAATTGAGAGCCAAAAAACTCGTGCGAGTGCGGCGCGCGTCGTGGCGAGGCGTGCGTGCGCGTGTGGAGCAACAACCCAAACAATACTAAGCCCAAAACACTAAATCAAAGCCCATTGGGATGTGAACCATTATAAACTTCTTGAACTTCTTCTCATTTTCCGATGTGGGACTATTCACAAAGGCAAAATTGCCTTTTCATGAACCAAAAGTCCAACAATTTTTGTTAACCCCTCCATTGTCCAAGAATTTTTATCCAAAGCCTCTTTTCGGGTCGACAAATTCCATCGAATATAGCATGCGACATTTGTTCAGGAAATCAACTTCAAATTTGTTGTTAGGATATTTATAATTATATTGTAGGAATATATTTTCAACACAAATGTAGTATTTGGTTGAAAAAAAGTTAGTGCAAAAGCTACGTAACTTTTTCATATAAGGAAACTCAGTTATAGTCTTATAGATGGTCTTATCATTTGGATTTAAATAGATATTTTTGATAATGTGGAATTATTTTTAATTTTTAATTTTTAATTTTTAATTTTATTTTCTGAAGCATGCAAATTTTCTTTTCACCAAATTGGCTGTAGTGTTTGCTGCAAGTTTTTTCTACAAAATTTAAGTTCATTTACATTTCCACTAATTATAAAGTAACAAACTGAATGATGTAATTTACAAATTTATTTGATCTATTTTCTTTCGCAACTTGATTTTTGTCCAACCAAACAAACCCAACACAACATTATAATCCAAAATTTTCTTTCTTTTTGTTGTTGAAAATTCCGTCTTTAATAATTTGGTTGCGTTGTTTAACAGTGCAGATGGGAATTTCTACAGCACATATGGATTTTGTCAATTGAGTAATTTTGTATCATAATCAGCAAACCATAAATGAGACAAATGATGATAAGAATGATTAGTGAAGTTTTTAAATACATAATGATAGTTCTTGGAAAGTCATGGGAAAGAAGATCAATCAAAACTAAAGCGTTTCCTAGTAATCAAGTACTAAGAACAAACTGCCCTCTTCGACTACGTTTCTTTGTCTATTTACACTACCTGTCCTTTGCCTACTCTTCGGTAGATGACAGTTATGCCCTTTTGAAATAAGTTCTTTCTGATTAAATGCATGAAAAAGGTTACCATAGATCCACTATGTCAATTGTACATTTTCGCTGTTTATAAATTTTGGTAATTTTTTTTATTAATTCGCAAGTTTTACAAACGCACCAATGTTTAACACACATAAAAATGATACATAACATTGATCAATAGATTTTGAGTTGAGAATGATCAGGGTGCAGCTCTAAAAAAAGAACAAATTTTTGAAACATACTCATTTAATATTTATTCACCAAAACCAACATTGTATAATTTTATTTACAAAAATCGCTCATGTTTCAACCACATCAGCACTGTTGGCAAAAACTGGATCAATTTTAGAGAAAATAAAGTGCACGACTTATCTGAGGTTAGCAATCCTACTTAATTAATGAAGATAATTAAGTGCAAAATAGGATTGGTTGGCAACTAATTGTATTTTAAAACCAAGTTCGTGGTGATTGCGGACCATAGTTATTTTTGAACTATAATCTACTAATTAGATGGGGATTGGTAACCCTCCCGTCTAATTAGTAAATTGTGTTTTTTAAATCGACATAGTTTTAGCCAACAATATCTAACTTTTTTTCAATAAAATTGAAATGAATTGAACTCTATGAATAAATATTAAATTGATTATATTACAAAAAAACCTAAAGGAGACTCATCAATACGTCAATGTTAGTTATTGATGGTAGGAATAGCCATTAAAGGTTTACAAACTACACTCTAGAGAAATAATTGTTTTTTGACAAAGGAGACTTATTAATTAATATTGTCTCATTATCCTATTCTAAGTCTCAAAAGTCATGCGACCTGTTATTCGTCTTTTCTCATTAACGAATCCTGTGGGTAATTTTAGTCAACATAATAACTACGATCACCCATAAACAACAAAAAAGCTCCTTCCCCTCATCCTCTTTCTCAGAAACAACTAGGGGCATTTTGGTCTTCTCCTCTCCAAATAAAATAGTAACGGAAAGAATTATTAGGATAATATTCTACTAATAATTTATTATAATTTATACAGTTTAATTATATATAGACCTCTGCTTTAGTAAAAGGCAGGAATAAAGGCGGTCCTCTGCTCCGATGGCAGAAATCCCAAAAACTTAAGACTGAGAGTGATCTGTATTCTCATACTCTGTTGAGTCTAGTGACCTGTCAGTCTTTTTCTCTATTTATTAATGTTTATTATTTTTATTTATTCATTTATCAATAGTAACCTCTTCATCACTCCACAGTCTCCATCTTTATACTCCTCCCACCTCCCAACCATTTCTTTTTCATAGTCATCATTCACTGTCTTCTTCCTTGGACTTTGCACGCTTCATTTGGTTCATCAACCCAAAAAATAAAAATTATTAAAAAGAAACCCACAAATAGAAATGCCATTTTGTTAACTTAAAAGAGTTGGATAGAGAGATGTTATGCTTGAAGGCAGAAGCAGTCGGTAGAGAGATTTACTCTGCATCTCATGGAGTGATTCTGCCCGTGAACCTGTAAGAGATATTGGAGCTCTCTCCGTCTTTGTTTTTTGTGTTGGTTGCTTTTGCTTGTTGTTTTCAATGATTGGAATGCTTCATGGTTAAACTTGTTATTATGTTTTGATTTGGGTTCAATAGTGGGGGTTCTCTTCAGAAAGCAATGCACAAAGGAGGAAGTAGAAAGGGCTCATCTTCTTCTCATTCTTCAAAATCTGGAGATGGGTATGTTTGTTCTTCTGGTTTTGAGGTGGGTATTGTTCTCTGACTCAAATTCATTTTTTTTGGGTTTTATGTATTTTTTTTTCATGATACCGATGGAGACTTAATGATTATGTTTTTGGCCTTGTCTGGTCTCTTAATCTTTAATTGTTATAAAACCCTTTACTGCTTGTGTTTGAATCACAAAATTGATGGAAAAATAAAGCAAAATTTTGGATTTCCAGTTTCTTTCATTTTTCCAGGTAAATTGCGGACGTCAGTCATCTATACTTCCAGTTGTCCTTAAGACACTATTTTAGTAGCACTAAACACCCCTCAATTCATGAGGAAGATCGAGGAGGGCCCTCAATTCATGAGGAAGATCGAGGAGGGCTGTCTACAATTTCGCCTTCTCAAAACAAATTCGGGGGTGTTACGTGCTACTGAAATAGTTGAGGGGTAAAAAAATTACTACTGATGTTATGGATGAGAGGGGTTGTCTACAATTTACCTTTTCTGAATAAATTTGGGCAGCATCTAGCTCCAATCCATTTCTGGATTTCTTTCTGTTTGCATTCATGGTACCCTTTTGTGGTCTCTTAAGTTTTAACTGATGAAAAAGCCATGTATGCTTGTATTCGGGCCATAAAATTGATTGGAAAACCAAAGCAAAATTTGTTTATTTTCCTGCTTTTTTTTCTGGGAAAAAAAAATTTGGGTTTTGTGCAATTTATGAAGATGGTATGCCCATCAGGGAATTAAGAGCATTGGTAGCAGAAAAGGCACAGATCAACGTGAGAAGGTGGGCTGTTACAGATTTCAGCTAGAGCGAGAAGTAAGTGCACTGTCTTTTATTGATTCTTCTCATTTCAGCTAAAATTGCTGCATTTAATACTCTGAGCTATATTTGTCCTTCTCAAGGTGAGGGGTATGTGATTTTAATTTAGAAGATGGTGATAGTAGTAGGAGGTTTGTGGTCCTTGTATGACAAGGATGATCAATTTGATGAAATAAGTAGGTTTTGTTTTGCTTTCATTGTCTTCAATGCTTGTCCAGTGGGAGTTATTGTGAAAATATTGGTGATCATTGAGGTTGATAATTTATCTGCATTTGGGCTTAAGGCGTCCCCTTGCATTAGTGAACCTTATGTATGATATAAAATACTCGAAATTAAACAACTAAATTTGGAAATGATAAATAGGAAACAATCTCCTCATCATACCTTCAGCAGCACTTATCGCCCCTGTAACTACTTTACTAGACTTATCACCCGTTATTTCATAAGAAGAGGGGGTTTATCTGCAATTATCCTTCTCAAAATGCTAATCTGGGGTTCAGAGTGCTACTCAAGTAGTTGAGCTGTGAATTGTGATAAATGGTTCTGAAGGTATAGATAAGGGGGATTTACTCTTTTGGAAAATTGAGCTCGTATTCTCTTTCATTAGGTAAGGTTTAAATTTGGGCATATTCTTAGTTTTCTCAAAAAGAAAGCTGGCACTGGAAAAAAGTTGTATGTTTGCCAGGAGAAAAACTTATGTCAACTTAAGTGGGCCATCCACCAAACTTTCTATCGGGTCCAACTATTCACACTCCCAAACAGTAACTTTGGGGGTGTGTGAGGACTAAATTGCCCTTCTCCCAGTAACTTTGGGGGTGTGTGAGGACTAAATTGCCCTTCTCCCAAACCAAAACAGGCCAAGTCCATTCCAGAAACACCCTCAACATCAAAAGGGCATTTTCGGCAATCCAACTCCCAAAATTACTGTTTGGGAGTGGATATAGCAAACATGCTTTCTATCCATTAATGAAAAGTCTCTTTCATATTTTGCATGGATCCCTAGGTATCATTAATGGATAGAAAGTTTGGTGCATGATCCACTTAAGTTGACATAAGTTTTTCTTCTTTGCCAGAAAATAGAGCCCAATAAATTAACCTTCGAACAGTAGGATAATTTCGTAATTAACATAAATCTTATCACAAATATTAAGTGCAGCTTGGATGACCACTTATTAAATATGGAAGCATGTTCGTTTATTCTCAGTTTATGTTGGAAAAGCTGCCATGTTAGTTTCATTGATGCGTATTAAGACCCAGATATTGGGTACTCCCAATGAAATAATCTTGGTTGGCAGTAAGCATATACTATTTTTCCTGTAGGATATAATATACAATTGAGAAGATAATGATAGGTTCATGGCTTTTATACCCTATCTTTCCTGCAAAAGGAAATTGAAATCATGGATAAATAGTGTCAACAAAAATTATTACGCTACCCAGGAAAAATTATTTGTGTCAGCAAGCAGCAAGTAAACTTGCTCTTTGAACTTATCATTTGCATCTTTTCTTCAAAGTCAACAAGGTGAATATCTTCCACATTCACACTCAAGCTGTGGTCAAAATCTGTTTGGGATATCCATCAGGGTATAGCCATACAAAAACATGAACTTAAACAGAAAATTAAAAACTTAAAATCAAGATCCAATAGCTTAGTCCTTGGGTTAAAGTGGTTTCTAGCCTATATTTGAGGTCCATCTTAAATATTAGAAGATTAACTGTAAAATGACTGATTTAAATAGAATTGAAAAATAGAATCACGTATGCTCTACTAATTGTGTAAGTTCCTCTTTGTAGTCTCAGTTATGCCCATTATCTATAATTTGCTTGTGTGCTCTTATTTTCCGTCTTATAGATATAAAACTATGTCAAACTATCAAGAACATCAAATTCAATTATGCATACATAAAGCACGAATTATATACTGATAAAAAAAGTTTACAGGTTCAGATATTGCAGAAGCAACTTCAAGAAGAAATCAATTTGCATATGGCTTTAGCAAATGCCGTAGCACATAATAATGAACCCCTCTTGAGTTCTCCTTTCAATATTCCAGATGAGGTAATCTTCCCGTTACAATTGTTATTGTTGTATGACAGTTATTCAAATTGTATATTAACGTTTTGGGTTCAATCTTTTAGGCTCAGGAGCTCCTTGCTAACATAGCTGAACTAGAGATCACAGTTTTGAAGCTTGAAGAAGAATTGGCTACCTTACATTTTCAGCTTAGTAATGAAAGAAACGAGCGTCACCTTGCTGAAACCCATTTAAAATGTTTACCTTTGTCATCACTTGAGCTACGTTCTGTTTCTGGCTTTATGTGGGAAGAGGTATGTTTTTGTTTCTAGCTTAAATTACAAGAAAACCCCTGATGAGTGACGCAGCGAGGGCTCGATTCTTAAAGTGGGAGAACTATCACAGCCCACTAAGGAATAGGCCTCACACCAAACAATCAATTCGCATGCCCAATATAAGATTCACATGTCAAGAACTTTTCATTTTATTCATCACTGTCTTTTTTCCTCGTGGCGGATACATCTTATTATTATAGAAAAGAAAAAAATCTAAATATTTAAGGAAGCAAATTAAAATCCTAATCAAATCAAAACCTACCATGTCATCAAATAAAATACTAATTAAAGTAGAAGATTGCAGATTATGCTGCATGGGTAGGGGTATGGGTATGGGTACCAGTACGGCATACAAAAAAATTGTAAGAGGTAGGGTACGGGGACACACTATATAGATATTATATATACACATATAGTATTTATTGGAATTAATAAATTATATGAGAACAATGATGATAATTAAAATTCCTATAACAATTTTATGTTTCATTTATTAATTGGATTATAAATTGGAAATCACTAGTTTTTGAACTAGACATCCAAACGACACTTGAAAATCATAATTAGGAACCTAACCTATGTCCAACGAGTTTCAAAAAGTGAATGTATATGATATATGTAAAAAAATGTATAACAGGTATTTTAATTAAAAAACTAACTGTATAATTGAATACATGCCCGAATAAATGTATGCATATATGCAATGAGTGTCCAAGGAGTTTGGATACGGGTCCGACTTCAGATTAGAAGTTCTGGTAACATAGATTGCAGATAATAAGTTCAGATCCTAACAAAATCTTTTGTCATGTCTTCATCAAAATGAGATATTGATCTGTCCTGAATCACCCCCTTCTCATCTATACCCTCTTTTTCATGAAACTCTCTTTATCTATATTCTGTTTTTCATGAAACCATTAAGTTTATAATGGACTTTGATTCTTGATACGTATGTGAGGACCTTTGCAAGTAGCATTCTAAATTAAAAATAAACGGATTAGTTTTTCTAAGTCATCCAAATACTCGTTTTTTCCCTCTATTTCTTTCCTTTCAACTCCAAAAACCTGTGGATTCTGAGCTGAGTTACCTGGAGAATAAAACTCCTCTACACAATTAATGGTTTCATTAAAGTTCATAAATGACAGGTTTGTTAAACTTCTTAGATGGGAGAGTTTCTTGAAAAATAGGATAGGTAAAGGTGGATTCTTATTTTTTTTCATGTCCTATTTACTTTGTGTTTCACAAAGAATGTATTTTCTATCTGATTGACCCATATTTTTTATCTGATTGACCCTTGTTTTATTCAGCACATATCTTCCTTGAGAGCTTCGAAGACTGGTGAATCTCAAATACCTCATTCATGGAAACTGGATTTTTCATCTGGAAAGATATGCTCAAGGGGAAAGGTATGCTCCGCATTATTTGTGTTCTTTTACAAGTATATTTGCGACCCTTTGGGCTAAAATAAGATACAGTTATAAAGTGGGAGTAAGTGTAAACAATTTCTATTACAGTTGCCCAGATCATGCAAGGATAGTAAGGAGAAACCGGAAATAGTTTCTTCTTTCGAGCAGGACGATGCAATGTATCGGAGGAAGAATCCAACACTGAAAGATATTTGGAATCACCCAAACAGGCTTTCTGAAGAAATGGTACGATGTATGAGAGATATATTTCTATGTCTATCAGAGTCATCATCTGCTTCTTCCAAGGTGTCTTCTTCGAAGCTTTTACCTTCTTCGTCTTCTCCAGTTGGACACCTGTCTCAGTCTTCATTGGCATCTTCATCGGATTCATCGATGCGTTGTCAAGAATTAGATATAGAAAATTCATTTGATCCTTATGGAGTTAACGGAAAGGTGAACTGGCAGAATATTGGGAGCTATGGATTGGCTGATGAAGTTTCTTGGTTGTCTGTTGGAAAAGATCAACTAGAGTATGCTGCTGAGGCTCTGAAAAAATTCAGGTGGATGTTTCTCATTGATCAAGATTTCTTATTTCTGAACTTGATAAAGATGTCGTAATAGTTTGGTTCACTTGGGTCTTGGAGGAACATTTTGGCCTATACTGGTCATAGTCAATCATAAAGAATTCAACTTGGCAGATACCTAAATAATTCAACTTGGCTCTTGGCGGATCATTTTTGGCCCATTTTGGACTAAGATACCTTATTTCAGAACTTGACAGTAGTGTACTAATAGTTTAGTTCAAATTAATTTGGTTCTTTGCAACCTTCTTCACGCTCAACATCCTTCTCTGCAACATAGGCTGTAGAAATTTATCCCAAAAGCCTGTAATCATGGATAATAAGAAATGTAGGGTTAATGTTCAATTATCATACGTTCATAGTTAAGGGCTGCATCATGTCAAATCCAGTAGATATTGCTAAATTCTGATTAATGATGGATTAAATAAAGTTTTAACTAAACGTACCTAAGGTATGTTTCATCAAAATACAATTCTTTTGTGTGGTTATTTTGTGGTGCTTTCATTACATTTAGTCATACTTCTGATCAAATTACAATTTGATGGAAAAGGCTATGATGATGGTGTTAGTGATGATACTGATGGTCCATTCTGTGTTATCTTCATGCCACCCTTTGAATTGTTATTGTGGTGCTTTCATTACATTTAGTCATACTTCTGTATCAAATTACAATTTGATGGAAAAGGCTATGATGATGGTGTTAGTGATGATACTGATGGTCCATTCTGTGTTATCTTCATGCCACCCTTTGAATTGTTATCATCTTTGACTATGAGATACTTTTGGTCCTTCAATACTTCACTGTATCCTCATTTTCTTCTTATATACAGATTTCTTGTTGAGGAACTGGGTAAAGTGGACCCTTCTCACATGAGCAATGATGAGAAGCTCGCATTTTGGATCAATGTGTACAATGCATTGATAATGCATGTAAGAATATTCCAAGTTCTACCTTAAATAGATTTTTTTAGAGCATGCCACTCTTTAAATTGTTGTCATATCTGACTATGATCATCGTGTTAGTGATGATGATGAAGAGTTGGAGCTTTAATTGGATTTGATGTTCCTTCAATTTTCATACTTTTCTGGACCCTGAGTGTAGTTTTATTTTGCTTAGAAAAACTAATAAGCTTCATGTCATATAATCTTGAAACCCTGATATTTATACACTGAGTTGAGCCTTGAGATGTCCCCTTTAACCCCGTGGATATGACTAAGAGCTGGTATTTAAGAACTAATGTCAAGCCGATCTTGGTAAGTCTTGATGTATCATACGCTCATTTTTCGTTTAATTTGGAACTGGAAATTTTGTTTCATACATTTATTTCTGAAGTATACCAGCAGTTGCATAAGATAAAGTCTCCTCAATGTATAATTGCAACTAACAAAAACAAATGCCATGCTATGAGAGCATAGCTTAAAGAACTAGATCCAAATAACATTCATGGCTAGCATAAGCATTGGTACCGTATCATTGATTAGTAGCTAGTTTTGAATTTAGTTGACAACCTAGATCTAGCATCATAACAAATTCTGAATTATCTTTTCTTTAAGGGTATTATTAGCAGCTGTATGTAGGTTTGGTGGTATGCATTGAAGTGAACAAATGAACTTGGGAATAGCTGTTATTTTTGTTTGGGATTGAGCATTCTCTCAGTGTTCTAATGCGTCTAGAGACACAGTAGACACTATCCTAGTATATGTCTTTCTAACCATACAGTCAAATTAGGCTTTTATATATTGGTACATAAGCATCATCCCTGTTTACAAAGTCGATATAGAAGAAAGTTGATTTTTCTTGGAATATTTTTTTTTTTTGAATTATACGTTGTCTACATTGGTAACAGGTTAACAGAGGCTCTGTCAGGGTCTTTGGTAGTGGTATGCATGTATCATATGCGCTAATATGAAAAATAACTCATCACTTCTGTCAGGGTCTTTGAATTATACGTGGTATGCAATTTGATATGAAAAGGAAATTTCGTATGCTAAAGTGCTATCCCTATTAAGTTAATTAACAGAAGCACTAACTTAGAGAACCTTATAAGCCCAGGTAAATTCAAACCTCAGCTACTTTTGCTTATAGTGAAAACAGCGCAGGATACTAGATATATATTTTTAGTTAACTGAAGTAATTTCGAGATAGATTGGCCTCAATCATGCAAGAATTTGAAAAATGTAAGAATGCATTTATTAGTAGGTTAATTTTTGTTCACTATTTATTAGTTAAATTCATTTAATTAACACTTCAGAAAATCTTTACCTATTTCTTTTCTTTTATCATACTTTTGGTCTGGAAGTGAAACTTCACTTTATACTTTATTCTAGCATGTCTGTCCATTTGGTGCCTCCAAGTAGAGTGCTTAATTGGGGATTCATATGGAAATTGCGTCTCACTGCTGAAATCTTCATTGTCAAGCTAATATGATAAATAGCCTAGATTCATTCAATTGTTATATACCCGATCACATTGAAAAACTTGAGCTGAAACTCCTAATCCTTTAAAATTTCAGGCCTACCTCGCATATGGAGTTCCCAGAAGTGACATCAAGCTCTTTTGTCTAATGCAGAAGGTTCACTTCAATGATTTATCTTCACTTGTGTATAGTGTGAATTTGAATTTTTACGAGAATTAAATTTCTGGTTGTTTTTGTGGCTGATGCAGGTATCTTATACAGTGGCAGGCCAGTCATTCAGTGCAGTTGACATTGAATTTATCATTCTAAAGATGAAACCTCCGGCCCATCGTCCACAAATAGTATGCAATTTTCTCTTTATGTTTATTAAATCATTTCTTTGTTTCTATTATTTCGATGCTGCTAACACAAACCTACATGGGATACATTTCTGCAGGCCTTGGTTCTGGCTGTCCACAGCTTTAAGATATCTGAGGAGCACAGATTGTATTCAATTGATGCCCCAGAGCCCCTTCTTGTGTTTGCCCTCAGTTCCGGGATGTATTCTTCTCCAGCAGTAAGTTATAATTTGCGTATTTTATTTTGTAATTAGACTGGATAATGACTGATTTTTTTATATATATTTCAGTTTTTGAACAAGATGTAGACCTAAGATAACTAGGTTGGAAGCAATTAATAAGGATATGATAGGATTCATGTAGTGGGACTCCAAATTTTTTTTGAAAATGTCTTTGTTGTAGTTGTTATTTCAGTTTTGGAAGTTCTATTAAATGCTTAGTCAATTTAGTTTGTAATTTCCCAAATCAGTCTATTTGAGTTACAAACAGATGAGGGAATTCTTAAATCCTTTGCACTGCAACAAAATTCTGAATTTTTTGTGAGAATAGGGATTTCAATTTTATGCTACGTAATGTTTTTCTTTTTCTGTGTTTTTTTTTTTTTTGCTTAATACAAGCGCTGTAAATGCATGCTCATTGAGTTTAGGGCTTGGTTTCTCAGATATACATATTATGAAATTGCAGTGAGGGTTGGGTATTATAATTTTATACTCTTAACATGAACCTGACTTAGTCAAATTATCGAAGTCGTTCACATGTTCATCCATAAATAACCTCACTCAATCACAATGCAGGTAAGGATCTTCACTGCAGATAACATCCATGATGAGCTGCAGAAATCAATGAGAGACTATATCCAAGCATCGATAGGTATAAGTGACAAAGGTAAGCTACTTGTTCCAAAATTGCTTCACAGTTTTGCTAGAGGAATTGTAGAGGATTCTCTGCTCGTTGACTGGATATGTCGATATCTTACTCCTGATCAAGTCACTGTCGTGAGAGATTCAACGTCTCAAAAGAAGCAGAGGCTTCTTGGTGTTCGAAGTTTCAGCATCATTCCTTTCGATTCAAGGTTCAGATATCTTTTCTTACCTGATAACAGAATTACTCAAAATCTATGAATCTCTTCATGGCTCTTGATTCATCAATAAAGTTCAAAATTATGCATGGTTCCATAATATCTTGGGTTATGACAAGCATTGGGGGATTGTTACAGTACGAGAAATGTTTGTATAAGTAGAGTGAAGGATGTAAATAAATTGTAAATTGGAGGTAAGATTTATACATGATCGAAAATCCTATAAAGGGGAAAAACAATTACGAGAGTGAACAATAGGAGAGGCGTTTTTGTCCAGATGTATTCAAGTCATGCATATGGTTTATGTAACTATTGGTGAGTTTTTTTCTAGCTCTTATTGAGCCTTGTGTAAAATATTTGTAACGGCAAATCTATATAATGGTTTACTATTTATGTTTATGCCCATGTTGTATGTGATTGACGAGTGTCTTTTTTCCAGAACTGATATAAGTTTTACTTTGTTTAGGCCACGGTGATTATTAGTCGTGTCATAATGTATATATCACAAATAACATAATATGCGAGTAAACAGGGGTTAGCGTCTCTCTACATATTTAGCTCTGATGATGTGACAACAATTTAGATCTGTGAAAATGGCGAAGGAATTAATAAAGGAATTAAGAAAAACGTGAAGAATAAGCAAAACATGCTCTACCACACCCTGGTGTGGTGTCTGTCATGGGTGTGGCAGAATCTGCCCTGTCTGCCATGGGTGTGGTGTCTGTCACACCCTAGTGTGACAGAATCTGTCATGTTTACCATGCGTGTGGTGTGTGTCACACCAGGGTGTGACAGACTCGTTTTTAGAATCCCAATCAGTTTTGGATTGTGTTTTGTTATAAATAGAGACACGTTTTTAGGGTTTCTTAGGCTTTGATTGGGCTTTGATTAAGCATTGATTGGGGGATATTTGGAGCACAAAAAGAGGTATTTTTTGAGCTTTTGATTAGGGTTTTATTTTGGAGAGATTAAGAGTTTTGTTGGTGAGATTAGTTTGTTCCTTCGAGTGATTTGTAATATCAGTTTGTACTCTTTCTCTATTAGTGGGTGAGATTAGTTTGTTCCTTCGAGTGATTTGTAATATCAGTTTGTACTCTTTCTCTATTAGTGAAAACCTCATCCCCCTTGCCCCGTGGACATAGGCAACTTGCCGAACCACGTTAAAATTAGTGTTTTGTTTGTGCATTGATTTTGGTTGGTTTTGGCCCTCTTTGATCGGCGTTTGGTTTGGTTCATCGATACGGTTTTCAACAACAATTGGTATTAGAGCACAACAATTGGTATCAAAGCTCGGGCTACGCTTGGGCTATTTGAATGAGTAGATCGATTTCGGAAGCTCGTCTAGAGTTTCAGTTGGTGAGAAAGGTGGATCTTTTTGGTAAAGCTTCTTTCTTTTCTCAGTTTTGGATCTATTCTTCGTTTGTTTCCGCACTAGTTGTTGGTGTGTTGAGGATTATGGCCGAGAAAGAGGGAGTTAAGGGTGGTTCTTCAGGTGTGAGGACTGTCCAATGTTTGAGTATCCACTCGATGAAGATTGACGTGGAGAAGTTCAATAGCACTAACAATTTTGGACTTTGACGATGCGAAGTCTTGGATGCGCTCAATACGCAGAATTTGGAAGATACGTTGGAGTTGGGCGGGAAACCGGACGACATTGATGAGAAGGTTTGGAAAAAGATGAATCAGACAACGTGTGGTGTGATTAGGTCTTGTCTCACTCAAGATCTAAAATATGATGTGATGAATGAGACTTCAACTAAGAAGATTTGGGAGGTCCTAGAGAGCGTCGAAAATCGCTTGCATTTGAAGAGGAGGCTTTATCGCTTCCAATTGAAGAATGAGACATCCATTAGTAATCACATGAACCACTACACGAAACTTCTTACAGATTTGACGAATATAGATGTCATTGTTGAAGATGAGGACAATACGTTGCTATTGTTGAGTTCCTTGCCCGACGAGGAATATGAGACGTTTGTCCTTACTCTTATTAATGGGAAGACATCTCTTTTATATAGTGAGGTCACCGCTGCATTAGTGAATTACCAACTTAGGAAGAATGACACGGAGAATTCTATTGAGCCGGGAGCGGGGGCATTAGTTGCAAGAGTAAAGGGTCCAAACCGAGGTAGAAGGGCACAGTCTAGAGGGGCACATCTTGGAATTCGTAGGAATCAGTGTGCTTTTTGTAAAAAAGATGGACATTGGAAAGCTGAATGCCCAAAGTTAGATCAAGCCGGGAAGAATAAGGGGAAAGCTATTCAGGATTCAGAGATGAATGTTGTCAAGGCTAGTGGCAACAATTCAGATTCGGATTCTTCGGGCTACTCATTATCTACACTGTCGTCAGTTTGTGTTGCTTACTCTACAGAATGGATGTTAGACTCGGGTACTACATACCACATTTGCCCTAGGAGGGATTGGTTCTCCAGCTTTCAGGAGTTGGAAAGAGGAGATTTCGTACTCATGGGTAATGGTCATGAATGCCCTATTGGTGGTATTGGCACCGTTTGAATTAGGATGAGTGACGGAGTGATTCGGGGGTTAGTTGGAGTGAGGTTCGTTTCTCAGTTGAAGAAAAACATCATTTCACTTGGAGCTTTGGAGGCAGCAGGCTATAGGGTGACCTTGGCGGATGCACGTTTGAAGGTTACATTTGGGTCCATGATTGTGATGAAGGGCGTCAGAATGAGTAACTTATACTATTTGCTTGGGAGCACGGTGATTGATAGAGCGCTGACGACTTCTTTGGCTAGACTGTGACATTGTTTGGTGCTGGGATATATGATTGGTGATGCCGTGCATAGGTTGTTGAGGAGTGCTTTGACCTGCACATGAAAGTCCTTTGAGCACATTGGGATGAGCAAGACCGTGGTGGAGTTAGGCACTTCTATCCATCGAGCGAAGGGTCTTTTAGGAGGTGTTCAGTCAGGCATTTGGGGGCCTTCCAAGGAGGCATCATTGGGAGGTAATCATTTTATAGTTTCCGCAGTTGGTGATTGTTCTAGGCATTATTGGGTCGCGAACAATTCCCGTTAGTGTAAAGTCCTAGAAGTCAATAACAATTGGAAGAAGTGTATTGGCAGAAAGGTAACTCGTTGTTCTAGCTTTGGTAGGGGTCCTTTCTTGCGTTTGTGCCGAGCTCATGGCAACTTGAAACACTTCATTGATGTGGAGACTTTGGGGCGACGAGATGATATGACAGTTTCGATGGGTCGTTCCTTTCTGGAGGAGGATCAACGTTGGTTGTCGAGCATTAGTTCTGGTTTTGGAGTTTTGACATATTTGAGTCATCTTAGTCATAGGTCGCCGACTGCTGCATTAGGAGTTATTGAATCTGGTGGAACTGCTTCAGATTTTGGTTAGCGTCAGATATTTGGTTACTCAACATTTGGTCACATCGAGGATGTGAGATTTGATCCGATTGCGCGTTTGGGGTTCGGAGGCTCATTTGATTATCGTTTGGGAGCTTCTGATTTTGTTCTGAGTAGGAATGTCACTTTTGACTCTCAGCAGGTGGAGAGGATTGATCAGGTCATTTGGATATCGCAGCAGGTAGAGGGTGATGCTACTTCACGTTGGGTGGAACTTATTTCACATACTTCAGATCATACTGCGTCATTTGGGATTCCAGCTGAGGTGGCACAGGTTAGGGATCATTTGATTTCGGATGCAGATGATGGATTGGTTTTGGATTCGGTTGCAGCTGATGGACATGATTTGGATACGGCCATTGGTTCACCTCAGATGGAGGTGTTTGATTTGTATCAGTTTGGGACCGCTATCAGTTGCAGATTCGTTGGTGATATTGGGGAAGAGTTGCAGACTTTTCTATTTGATTAAGGGTCTTTGGAGGCCATTTGGGTGAACTACGTGAATGCTTGATTCCTTGGGCAAGAGGATACGTAGGCAGTCAGTTTTGATGCAGCCGATTTGGTGAGTAGACATCGACGTTTGGAGAGTGTTCGCATTCTCATTTGGGTCTCGACTTGTTGTGGTTTGAGTCCGTTGTCGTGAAGGGTTTCCACAACGTCCTGGACGTAACAAGTGGGACATTTGGTTTGGTTGGTGTCGGCTCAGTTTTGGAAAAACTTCGCCGAGGTGGAGAATTGTGAAAATGACGAAGGAATTAAGAAAGGAATTGAGAAAAACGTGAAGAATAAGCAAAACAGGCTCCACCACACCCTGGTGTGGTGTCTGCCATGGGTATGACAGAATCTGCCCTGTCTGTCATGGGTGTGGTGTCTGCCACACCCTGGTGTGACAGAATCTGCCATGTTTGCCATGGGTGTGGTGTGTGCCACACCAGTGTGTGACAGACTCGTTTTTAGAATCCCAATCAGTTTGGGATTGTGTTTTGTTATAAATAGAGATACGTTTTTTAGGGTTTCTTAGGCTTTGTTTAGGCTTTGATTAAGCATTAATTGGGGGATATTTGGAGCACAAAAAGAGGTATTTTTTGAGCTTTTGATTAGGGTTTTATTTTGAAGAGATTAAGAGTTTTGTTGGTGAGATTAGTTTGTTCCTTCGAGTGATTTGTAATCTCAGTTTGTACTTTTTCTCTATTAGTGAAAACTCCATCCCCCCTTGTCCCGTGGACGCAGGCAACTTGCTGAACCACGTTAAAATTGGTGTTTTGTTTGTGCATTAATTTTGGTTAGTTTTGGCCCTCTTTGATCGGCGTTTGGTTTGGTTCCTCGACACGGTTTTCAACAACAATTGGTATTAGAGCATAACAAGATCATCATCATGTTCAGGTTATAAGTGATGGTCAGGATGAATGGCAAATCAGTAACAAACCAGCCAAGCATACGAAGGCGTTTGACACTGATAAATGATAAATGATTATTTTTCCTATAGTACTTGAAGAAACGAGAACATCCAGAAAATTGGCTGATTATAGAGAGAAGATGATGATGGAGAGTCAACAGCATTCAGAAAGAGAAGACTTTACACTTTACGCCCCCATAAGAATTAACAACTGCTCCTAATATTTGATCACCCACAAAGATTTTCAACTGTAACTACTTGTATGCACCATGAACAGTCAAGGCTGGACTTTTGGCTTTTATCTCTATGCCCCAAAAATTTGCTTTAGATCCTTCATGCAAAAAAAAAAAATTATGCCATCCTGCAACTTGTTCTTCTGCCCTCGGCGCTGCTACTATCGAAGATAAAAGGGGGAAAGAAGAAACACATTTGAAGATGTAGATGTTATGTCTCATTAGTAATTAAATTAATGTAGATGATGAATGATTAATTGATTCCCTCCTCCAATTTCCTTTTTCTTTTCATTTTTGCCTTTTTCATCTTTGTAGAGAGAAAATATCTCGTTGCAGTCGAATTTAACAGCATTGCTTGACTGAACAGGCGACAGCTTGAGCCCAGTGCCTTAATCTCATCTTCACGTCCTGAGGGTTGTCGCCTATATATGATATCATAAACAAAAAAAATGCACAAAGTCAGTCATTGGCAAATCTCTACAATGTAACATCATGAAAAACATAATAAACTTTTCTCATTTGAAGAAAATCCAGTACAGAAACAAGGATTCTGCAGAACGTAGGTACATATATAAGCAACAGCATGAAGCTATATAACATTATATGTAAATATGAAAGCATGAACAATCAGGGGAAGACAATAAAAAACTCAAGAATAAAAAGGCAAACATTGGAAGCAAACCTGGGAAAGGGTATCTTATTATACATATATATTCATAGTAATATGATGTATTGAATTTACATACACATAAGGTTATTATACAAGGATGTATGCAGTTACAAAATTCATAAAACAATATCATCACCTTAACAAGTGCACTAGTGCATATATATACATGCTAATGCAAACATAGGTTTCTATATCAGATGCATTCAGAAACCACCAAATCATAGCTCACAACTACAATACCAAAAAACCACAAGTGGCAGATATCATCGACGCTCATATATGTGCGACGATTGTGGCAATCTTCTAACTAACAATCAGAATAAAAAGTATATTAGTTAAGCTAAAGAAAGGGTGAAGATAGACATTATGAGTCCCATGCATGACAAACAACATTCATCGAAAAATATACATAAGAACTATGCAGTAGCAAATTTTGAAAGAAGAACATATCAACATCAAAAGGAATTGCAAAATAACGAACTAGTGATTAGCATATAACTATGAAATGTCAACAGTCTAAAATACCGCCCAACAATATTCGGATTCGGATCCTCTCCACTATCTAAAAAGTAGTTGAGGGACCACTACATAATCACAACCATTAATTATCTAGTTGATGGTTGTGATTTTTTCTTTGAGTGCAATACACGAGGCTATGATGAGTGTTGGATTTCGATTGTATCATAACCGCCTACTAAGTAATGATAATCGTTGGATATTGTCTTTATCTGCATACAGTTTGATATTAATGTTATACTTCTATCAGATGATGAGAAGGTCGAGTTCTCATGATAAGAAGTTCGTATCCTGTTAAAACTAGGAAAGTTACGGGCCACGGGTAGAGTTGTCTGGTTTATCTTGATTAATAAATCAATGCGTTATACGAAACTTAATTACCAGGGTTGCAGATCTTCCAGTCAACAGAATTCCTCTGGTCCTCCTCTGGGCTCATCGGGCTTGGCGTCTCCACCGTCGGTGTCGACGCTGGGCTTGGCGACGACCGGAGCTTTGGCTCGGACAACTGCCTATTCACCTTAAAATAAAGATCCAACGCAGGCAATGTATCACGAAGACCATACCCTCCATCCTCCTCATTGAACCCAAACCCCAAATCAATAGACCCTCTAAGCTCATCAAAATCCTCATCAGTCAAGCTCCTCATCTTCCCCCTCCCTCTCCTCTCCTCTTCTTCTTCATCAAGAACTACGGGGTCTTGATCCTCCGTCGCCACTACACGCTTCTTCCTGTGGAGTATTTGTCGCCGGCGGTGCTCCCATTTCGCCTCTCTTGTTGTCTCCTTCATTGAGAGTTGCTTTGACAGCATTCTTTTTCTGTTGATGAACATGTCGTTGGAGATGACCGTCGTCATTCTTTCTTCGTCAGTTTCGCTTTCGGATGACGAGGAGACGGTGAAGGCAAGAAGGAGCTTCTTTTCGACGAGGTCGGAGTTGGTCATCTTTGTAAATATTTTTTCTCTCTCTCCTGTTGTTTGTTTCTCCTACCTCCTTGGTGAAGGAGGAGGAGAGAGAAAGTGGAGACCCTCTTCTCTTCCTTTCTCTTTGGGGAAGGAGAGAGAGAGAGAAGGAGGGAGAGAAAATGATTGGAGTTGTGAAAGGGAGAGGGGATTTAAGGAGGAGAGAGGATTGAGAAGGCGGCAAAGGAGCGTACGTTACTCTCCGAGGTGAAATGAGGACCGCTGTTTTTGGGTCTCTAATAACTAATTAGCTATTTATTGAGGGGAGGATGGAGGAGGAGAGGAGTTTGAGGATGGAGCAATTTAAAATTTGGAAGTTAATCAAATGACCTTTTTATGGTGATTTTGGTGATTTGGTTAATTTGTTTTAAATGTTGGGTTAGAATTAACGATATGGATTAACGTAGATATATCGGCATAACGTGTACGCATATGACATGATATATATATATAGGGGATATAGAATTTGGGATGCATAACTGATAATTTTTTTTAAATATTTGTATCAATATCCTGGAATGAATATATTGGGAATTTAACGCCGAAATCCCTAATGCAACGGAAACGCAGAATAGAGAACAGTACACAAGATTTACGAGGTTCGGCAACTGCCTACGTCCTCGGGAGCCACACAGATAATTTCTTATTAACCTAACAAGAAATTACAATTTAAGAGCAGATCAAATATGAGATCTCTCAGATAAACACTGTAGCTACAGTGTTAATAATCAGAGGGAATAAACCCTTTCAATTCTCACTTGAGAATAAATAAACAACCCACTATATAAAGCCCCAAATTAATTCCTCTCTCTCTCTCCTTAAACCCTCTTCTTAATCTCCCCTCAAAACTCAGTTGAGTGCTGGAGATGAGAAATCAAATCGCTGCTGCGATTTCTTGGTCGAAGATGATGAACGCTTCTGCGTTAATTTCGTCCGCCGCCAGAGAGAGATCGGGGGGAAGGAGCTCTGCTACAAAAAAACCCTAGGCGATGGGGTTTAAATAGGCGAACGAGTTTGGAGGGCTGGCGACAGCCTGTCGCCAGCAGATAGAC